CTACTTTTGGAGTTATTGCCCTTTGTTCATTTTGACACTTTGAACTTTGTCCGGGACATTACTCTTAAATTATAAGAGATATCAACATGAAACTTTGTAGATAGATAGGTCTCATTGGGTGGAAGTGCAGTGCTTAAGAATCATTACTCTGCCTTGCCTTATTTTGAAGTAATTGCCCTTTGTTTATTTTTACTTTTTGACTTTTGTCCGTGACATAACTTTAAAACTGTAAGAGATATCAACATGAAACTTTGTAGGTAGCTAGATATAATTTGATAGAACTGCAATGCTTAAAGAACCTAAACAAAGCCTGGTCTAATTTTGGAGTTATTGCCCTTTGTTCATTTTTACACTTTGAATTTTACCCGGGACATAACTCTGATATCATCAGGAAACTTTATAGATAGATAGATCTCATTGAATAGAAGTGCAGTGCAAAAAAACATAACCGCTTTACCTTATTTTGGAGCTTTTTTGCCCTTTGTTCATTTTTTTTATACTTTCCTGTGTCCAGAACCTTCTCGGGGAGCATCACCCGGTTCAACCGGTTCTTGTTTAAAGTAATAGTAATTCTGTAATTTAGTTCATAATATAACAAAATGGACGCTTTAAGTTCATATCTATGAAACTATATAGCAGAAATCACAGCATACTCATTACGATTTTAAAATGTAAATAAAGTTATTAGTGATTTAGTTTTAAACATTTTATGAAGAACGATCATATTTTATTCTAGAACACTTTATAATCTGCTATATAAAATATAGTTTCGGTTCATATATTTCACACTTGCCAACAATATACTTGGTCTTCTTGGTATCCACATATTGCCCTTCGGACAGTTGCCCCCTCGGAAGTTTGCCCCCTTTTTGAAATGGCGGTCATTTGCCCCCTCATATCTTTGGAAGGGGCAAACATTTGTCCCCCCCCCCCGTGCTCCCTGTTTTAAAAAATATTTTATTGTTGAATTGTTTGCTACCATAATTCATCGCCTATTGTCGAAATTTCATTGTACTTAAATACACTAAAACTCTCGCGCCAATTTGTGAAAGTCAAAATAGCATCCATAAATAAATAAAACTAAAATGTTTCCATTGGCATACATAAAATCTATACACGAGATGACAAGTCACAACGGCAAAAAGGGGACATACGTCCGGGGTCAAATGTCCGGGGTCAAATGTCCTAGAATCTGCATTGTCTGATACGACATACTATGAACATAATTATTCATTCTTTAACATACCTTCTATGACAGATCTATTCAATTTATTATTGACAAATTGCACATTTAGCTTTTTTGATTTTTTATTTTAAAGGGGAAAGCAAAGGATATATTGTATTTAAGCAGAACGTTGATAAAAGCTTACCTGTATATGCGTTGTGTTAAAAATAATATTTGTGCAATTCATCAAATGCTTTGGATCAGCCATTGCTCCCCAAACCCAATTTTGTTTTAACGGTGTTTTAAGTTGGATATCGGGCCTCATACATCATCTTTCCCGGTTTTTTAAAGGGAAAACCTGGTCACGGGAATTTTATGAAACAAACCCCCCGAGGGGCTACGCGCTTTTCAGTTTCAATGGGAAAATCGTACTTCGGCATATCCTATACAAAAAGCTGGAAATTCACTGTATGACCTTTACAGTGTTGGCGTGACTAAAATCCCAGCAAAATTAAATCTAACAAAACAAACAAACAACTTGTGGACAGTAATGGGAACCTATTATTCTTGTAAAGAATGGTATGCTTTCTTTTCAACAGCATTGTCTGATTAACACTAGGCAACATTTTTTGGGGGGAAAAGGAGATTACCTTATTGTGCAAAACAGAGTACTTTTAAAGTAGAATTGATTGTCAAATAATTCCAAAATTGATCCCTTCTATATATTGTAGCAGACATATTGCTCTTTAAATGTCTGCCTGCGATTAACTGTATACCTCCACTAGTGTCTAGAGACATAAACTGTTGTTGTTTTGGTTTTTTTTGGTTGGAAATCATTTTGTTAACATTGGACAAATATATGTATATACAAATATTCTCAAAATTTGATGGCTTAAACCGGTTATAGATAAAAAAGCAGTTTATAACTCTGTTTGATATATTTTCATTGAATAATCATTATTGAATTGTTGAGATTGAATAACAAACAGCAATAAGTAGCTTTAATCATAAAACAGTTTAGTTGACAAGTTAATTGAAGGAATTTAAATAAACATAAATTATAATATGTTGGGAACATTGGTTCTCTTCTTTTGGTTGTGAAAAACACACAAACTTCAAATTTTATAAAAGTGATTCAATAAGGAAAGATTTCATGTTTCAGCAAACAAATATATTATTTTTCTGTGGTGTGTGCATGTCCTTTAATTAAGTTCCCAAAAAAGAGAGAAAACTTGAAGTCTGTCACCATGGTTAGATTGCTAGGTAGTATATTTTATATTAATGATGATATTATTGAGGACATCTATGAGTTAATAGAAATGTACTTCACTTGGGTATTGTTTTTTTGTTTTTTAGCTCACCTGTCACAAAGTGACAGGGTGAGCTTTTGTGATCGCTTTTCGTCCGGCGTCCGTCCGTCCGTCCGTCCGTCCGTCGTCCGTCCGTAAACTTTTGCTTTAAATGACATCTCCTCATTAACCACTGAGCCAATTTCATCCAAACTTCACAGGAATGTTCCTTTGGTGGTCACCTTTAAAAATTGTTCAAAGAATTTAATTCCATGCAGAACTCTGGTTGCCATGGCAACCGAAAGAAAAAACTTTAAATATCTTCTTTTAAACAACCCTAAGAGCTAGAGCTTAGATATTTGGCATGAAACAACTTCTAGTGGATGTCTACCAAGTTTGTTCAAATAAAAGCCCTGGGGTCAAAATTGGCCCCGCCCCAGGGGGTCATTGATTTTCCCTATATGCATATAGTAAAAACTTAAAAAATCTTTTTTTAAAGAACCCAAAGAGCTAGAGCTAAGATATTTGGCATGAAACATCTTCTAGTGAGTGTCTACCAAGTTTGTTCAAATAAAAGCCCTGGGTCAAAATTGGCCCCGCCCCGGGGGGTCATTGATTTTCCCTATATGCATATAGTAAAACCTTAAAAAATCTTCTTTTAAAGAACCGTAAGAGCTAGAGCTTAGATATTTGGCATGAAACATCTTCTAGTGAATGTCTACCAAGTTTGTTCAAATAAAAACCCTGGGGTCAAAATTGGCCCCGCCCCAGGGTGTCATTGATTTTCCCTATATGCATATAGTAAAAGCTTAAAAAATCTTCTTTTAAAGAACCCAAAGAGCTAGAGCTAAGATATTAAGCATGAAACATCTTCTAGTGAGTGTCTACCATGTTTGTTCAAATTAAAGCCCTCGGGTCAAAATTGGCCCGGCCCCGGGGGGTCATTGATTTTCCCTATATGCATATAGTAAAAACTTAAAAAATCTTCTTTTAAAGAACCATAAGAGCTAGAGCTTAGATATTTGGCAAGAAACATCTTCTAGTGAATGTCTACCAAGTTTGTTCAAATAAAAGCCCTGGGGTCAAAATTGACCCGCCACAGGGGGTCATAGATTTTCCCTATATGCATATAGTAAAAACTTAAAAATTTTCTTTTAAAGAACCCAAAGAGCTAGAGCTAAGATATTTAGCATGAAACGTCTTCTAATGAGTGTCTACCAAGTATGTTCAAATGAAAGCCCTGGGGTCAAAACTGGCCCCGCCCGGGGGGTCATTGATTTTCCTTATATGTGTATAGCAAAAACTTCTTTGAAAAAACCCAAATAGCTAGAGTTTAGATATTAAGCATGAAACATCTTTAAGTAAATATCTACAAAGTTTGTTCAAATAAAAGCCTGGGGGTCAAAACTGGCCCTGCCCCAGGGGTGTCATTGTTTTTAACTATATGTGTATAGTAAAAACTTTAAAAATCTTCTTTTAAAAAACCCAATGAGCTAGAACTTAGATGTTTAGCTCAAAACATCTTCTTATGGGTGTCTACCAAGTCTGTTCAAATAAACAAATAAAAGCCCTTGGGTAAAAATTGGCCCGGGGGTGGGGGGGGGCCCTATATACAGGTGAGCGACCTCAGGGCCATGATGGCCCTCTTGTTTTGTTTTGTTTTTTTTTGGGGGGTGGGGGTGCTTTTCTTACTGACACGGTGATTTTTACTCATTATTTGGTAATAACTTGGAGGTTGATCCACCTTACCAACTTTTCTGGGTACTAACCAGAAATTTCTGATTTATCCACAAGTGCCCCAGTACTAAATCCCACATGATTTCTGGATCAGAGGTGAGAGACAAATAATCATTAGACTTGATGTCTAAGATCTATTGTCACAAAAAAAAAATTTGCCTTGCCAGAGGATAGAACCAGCCACCCCTGGGTTACAAATCAGTGCTCTTCTTTTTGAGGTAAGCAGACAGATGAGGGATACTAAAATATATATTAATTTATATAAAATGCCCTGTTTTTTTTATCATGTATGATATGATAATTATTAATATAAGACACAAAGTCTATGACAAATGACTCTGTGACATTTATATTAGCTGCTCTAAAAATGACAAAATATCTGACAATAATTATATTCCTCTGTTGTTAATTAACTTTGATTTTGTCACAATCATTAATTTTCATAAATTGTGTCTCTTCTATGAAAGAATTACAATATATCTTTTTCCAAAAAATCTCTTTCATTTCTCGGACAACAAAATTATTTTTTTTCAAATTTTCATAAAAATTGCTTGAATTGGATACTAACTGTAATTGTTTGCTGAGTGTAAAATATGTTTCTTCAAATTTGCAAAAAAGTGAAGAAAAAAAAAGAATTAAATTTTCTTTTATAATTAATAAAATACATGTATTCAACATGATACTGTATTGTATAACATATTACAAATCTTGGTGCACCAAAATCTTTCTGCCAGAAAACGTGAACAATTAGCTAGTAAATTATCCGCTTTTCTTTTCTCCGCGAACTGTACAGAAGCAAGGCACAAATGGAAGAGTGTCTACTAGTTTGACAAAATCTATTGATTTTTGACAAGATATTGTACAGAGCAATGAAATAGTGTGTCTAGGCTCGCTGTGTTAGATCGGATGATTATTATATTGTAACCATACTATATTGGAATTATCACTCATTTAAATGCTTGATGAAGGACCTGCATTGGTTTACATTGATCAGTATGTAATTACGAATTATTTGTGATTTTTTTTATGTTGAATATACATTTGTATTAGGAATGATGGGGTATTAGGAATGACAGGATTTTTTTTTCTTTCAATGTTGTGTTTGAAATTAATGATTGGTGTTGGTGGGGAAATTATATTTATTGCTTTCTAGGAAGATGAAACGTTTAAGAAATACAGGAATATTCTTGTTTATTTTTTTTTGCATGTAAGGAAACAGTGAGTTGGTTTCTTTGAGTGAAGTTTGTGAAGATATTTTTTGTTATTTCTTGGAAGGTTCAATGAAAATATTCCTGTTACTGTGTAAGCAGGGAAATGTGATTGCATGAGTATATTCATTAAAAATTATCATTTTCTATTTTTTCGTTAGTAATGTGCAAAATCTTTAGTATACATGTTTTTCTTGTGACCCGGTTACATGAAAACAGAATTATTTAGGTTTTCGAAATTAAAATGCTGTAATAATTGGTTGATAATTAAATATGGCTGATATAAAACATGATTGTGCACATCAGAAAATGTAAATATTGTTCATTATCTTTACACTTGAAGGATTTTTATTTTATGATATGATGAATTTTCCACGACTGTGATTTATTGTCAGAAAATCAATGGTTGATTGCACCAACAGTTCCCAGTGAAATCTGCACTGTTTTAAAACAGTCAAATCATTGTTTATTAGCTTATCAACTATATCCCCATTAAATCTGATAAGTTTCAAAGGAATTCTTAAATATAATTAAGTTTTTTTTCCTGTAAAATTAAGATAAAAAGAGAAAATATTCTGTTATATGCATGATTATATTTTGTATTTTTTGTGACGCTTTCCAATCTGTTCAATTCTTTTGGGAATTTATGACCTTTTCCCACCTCCCTGTGGGGCATTTCCCTCTTCAATGTCTGGGTGTGTTTCAAGTTTGGCCATGCAGCTGGAGACTGTGTGGGCCTGTGGGTAGATGTGTTTGGAGTGGGTTGTGGGTCCTTAGTGTGCATTATTTAGATATAGATAGGAATGTGGGTTAAATCACTGATGTTGGTTAAAACACTGGTGTTACCATAGTTTAGCTGGAAAGCTTTTAGTATTTGAATCATTGGGGGTTTCAAGGGTCAGTTGCTTGTATGTCCAAATAAACTTTGATAGTAGGTTATTTCATAAAGTAATGATAGCAAATTACAAATTCACTGACATTATTTTCATCAAAAGAGAAGGAAATTAAAGGTTTAGCTTTTTTATTAAGGGCTTTTTAAAGGAAGACCAGTATTTAAGTCAAGACATCAGTCTGTCTCAGCTGTTGAAATAAGATTTTTTTTTTTCTTGTTTTTTTTTCTTCGTCATTTTAAGTCACAAATTTCGTCATTACTCAGCATGCTAGCTTTGGTTTTACATGTACTATAGCTGAGAGTATCCGAAGAACTTAGCTTTTTAACCTCATTATACCAGTCTAGTAGTGTACAAGAAAAGCATTGATGCAAAGCATCAAAGGGCGACGCCAAAAGAATTTGATCCAGATTTGCACCTAAATACTTAACAAAAGATGTGTACTTTATAGCAGTACCATTACATGTGACCTGGAGGCTAGGGCCAGGTTAAGTTGAAACTTAAACCAAAAAAGAATAGACTCTGTCTTGCCAAGATGCAAAGGCAATTTATAGTCAATTAAGCAATCTTATAAGACTCATGTTATAAGAAAGAATTTCTTCAGATTTAATTTATGAGACACAAGGATTCCTGAGTCATCAGCATATAATCACTGGCACGAGTATCGGACCTGGGAAGAAAAAATATGACCAGATGACCAGATTGATAAAAAAAAACTGTGTTTATAAAAACCAAAACAAAAAATGTAAATAATGATCCCCTTTAAAAATATACTTTCAACTTGAAGTATATTTTTAAAGGGGGTCATTATTTACATTTTATTTTGGTTGTTGACACTTTTAAGATGAACACAGGTTTTTTTTATCAATCTGGCCATATTTTTTCATCCAAGGTCTGATACTCGTGCCTGTGCATTATAATAAAAGCTTATTGCTTAGGGTTGAAGACATGTAATTGACATATATTAGACATAAAAGAGGACCTAAAATGAACATCAGGGGGACAGCATAGGTACTCAGAGCAGTAGTAGAATAAGTACCAGCCACATCAACCAGCTACTATCAGAGATAAGACTTAAACCATGTAAGAATGTCATTATATATGGCAGATGCTTGAAGTTTCATGAAGAAGAAGAAAAACAACTTCTTCATGTGCAGGATAGTGTGTTCAACTGTATCAAATGCCCTTTGTAGATCTAAAAGTATCATGCAATACTGCCTTTGTCCATTTCAAATAATGCAATCTGTTAAATGAATCAAACATGTGTCAATTGAAAAACCACTTCTTAACCCTGACTGAAACTGCCTGACCATGACTCAAACCCATGACTTTCAGAAGACCAACTGAGCTATCCGTCCTGCTACACATTTTCTCTTTAATAATGAAACAGTTCTAAACCACAACATATTTCCCCACTATATCGATTTGTGTTCGTGAATTTCTTATGTTACAGAGCATAGGAAATTGAACTCATGCTTATATGCAGTCATAGGATGAGAAAAACTTTGAGCTTGACCAGAACTCATTAACCTGTGACCAACATAAGAAGAAATTTTATGAAGGCTGATTTGTATTTTGCATCAAGGGCACCGGGCAAAAACATGAAAATGCAACAAACAAACCACTTTGTGGTAGATTGTATTTTCATGTTTTCATCTGGCGCCCAGTTACTTTTTGTACTATGTTGGTTTTCATGTGGCACAAATCACCCACTATAAATTTAGTGCACAAATTTATTCAAGGGCAAGTAACAATCTACTCTATGTACAGTCTGTTGTCGCGTTGACTCAGGAGACCTGGAGGTTGAGACCGGTGTCTCTTCATTACAAATAGATAAGACAGAAGCTGTCCTTTTCAAACTATGCACATGTTAGAAAAAAATAGAATAACTATTCAGAATATGATTTTTTGAGACTTTATTAATTATATTGCTTGATCCAAGTTTAAGGACATTTTCAATCAATACATGTTTTATCATTTATAACTTTAAATGAAAGTCTCATCCCTTTAATAATAATGACATAACTGTATCTCTTTAAATGCAGAAAAATTATAAGTCTCAACATATCAATATACTACTGTCTAAGATATACATGTACATGCACATAACATTAATAATTCCCAGTTTATATTAAATAAATATGAAATCCTAACATTAACATTAACATGCTTTTGATGACCTTACAACTGGTGAATTATATACAACAAAAATAGTATTATAAGTAATACCTAAGATAGACAGAAAAGAACAAATAATTTAGTAAACATAAGTTACTTCCCCTTAAAATAAAGAAAACCTGAAACCCAAAAGAACACGATAAACAGCAAAATTATGAAATGTTGCAGGTTCAATTTTATCAAGCCATGCAAATTAATGGTAAAGTATTCATAAAAAAATAGATGGCCTTGTGTCAGCAGTAATTGCAGAAAATCGGATAGCTTTCAACATCCGGATACTGGTACACTTTGTAAAAACAACCATTCTGCGCAACAGATAAATGTAATAAGGATAAAATCAATAGGATAATCGTTTACAACAGTTTCATTACCTATCCTTATACTCAATTGCAGGTGAACTTTCTTCTTGTAGGAAAATTTTGAAAATGTATAAATGATACGGCCTCAATCTAGACCACAACGATATTCGAAATCCGGGTTTTAGTAGTGTCATTAAAACTAAGGGACAAGCTGTTAAACTTAACCCGCAATTTCGTGAAAATAATATCACAATGCACATGCTTTTTACATAAAGTTATTAAATACAAATATAACAACACATTTGTTTACTTGATTTTTACGAATCAAAATAAAACTAATTTACACAACATGAAATTAACTGCTAATAATAACAGCTCCTTCCATAGGCAAAAATAAAAAGCGTTCCATAATAGACGACGCCGCTCACCGGCGTCGCCAATTAAACCTTGACCACAGATGATGCTGTCAATGTCCTCAGTCAAGTTTTCAAGTTGCTAATTCTGCTAAACATTCTGAGAGAAAAAGTTCAATTTAGAATTATTGATATCGTACTGTATTGTTTAAAGAAAAGTTTTAACCATTTCAACTCCAGACACTTTAATCTGTTCTTTCCTTTTGGTATTCGGAATTTTGTAATTTTGACTTGACAAATTTTGACAAGCATTATCTTAAAGGAACTCCACTGTGGTCAAAAGGCTTAAAAACAAAAAAAATATGAAAATCTTATGAAACTAAAATAAAATGATACACTTAAAATGGAAAAATCTGCAAAGGATAATAAAGAAATATACTCAGATATAAATTGAAATCAATTTTAATGCAGATGTATATCAATTGGTACAAAAATCTCAGAAAAATATTTACACTCCTGTCATGTCTAAAAAACCTCAGTTGAGTCCCTTTAAGTTTATTGTTACTATTTTTGAATGTATACCTTTTAATTAAGAATCCTTTGTTTACAGAATTATTCAAGCAAGATTTGAAATCAAATGCAAGCTGGCTCTTTCCTGTTGTATAGTAAATTGATGCTTAAATACCAATTTATATATAAATTTCTAATTATGATGCAACCAACTTGCTATCCTGGGATTCAGGCATTCATGTTTTTTGCTTATTCATACCACACGGGCTATTTCATACTTGTTCACGAGCATGTCACAGTATTTGATAGAATGTCGATTTACCAAACAGAGGCACATTACAAAAAATGGACAGACGGGAACACGGGCTACCAACTTGAATGACCTAAAATAAGTAAAAGCACCTGCTGAAGAAAATTTGTATTACAGCATTATTGTGGTGATGAAAGAAAAGTACAAATTGATAGATTTTGAAAGTATGTTAAGAAACATTATTTAAAAGGAGAATGGTCTGTTTGAAAATTATGTCAACAAAATGGTATTCATGCATTGATGAA